TAGTCGTGCTTTTCAACGTCTTAAGCCATTTTTACAAGATGGAATCGTCAGGGTAGGTGGGCGCTTGTCGAACTCGCAGTTGAGTTTCGACCAACGTCACCCTATAGTTTTACCGCGTAAGGACCATATCATGAATTTATTAGTTGATTACCACCATAAATTGAATTCTCACGCTGGCCCCGACTTGTTGATGTCAATCTTGCGTCAGAATTATTGGATTCTTTCAGCACGTAATTTAATCCACAATCGGGTGCACAGATGTATGGCTTGCTTTCGAGTACGTCTTAAGCCGTCATTTCCGGAAATGGCGGACCTTAGGTCTTGTCGAGTAACACAATCCGTAAAGCCCTTTATGCACACCGCGTCTGACTTTGCTGGTCCGTTTAAGGTCACGCTCACTCGCGGGCGTGGTATAAGATCCACAAAAGCTTACGTTTGCATTTTCGTATGTCTGACTACTCGGGCTGTGCATATAGAACTCGTTGGTGATCTAAACACAGCGGGCTTCATGGGTGCATTTAAAAGATTTCTTTCCCGCCGTGGCCCTGTAAGTAAATTGTATTCGGATAACGGTACAAACTACGTCGGCGCGAAACCTATTTTATCAGAACTACATGAGCTTTTAACCAGGAAATATTATAATTTAGAGTTCGCTCACATCCTAGCCGAGAACCGCATCGAGTGGTCTCTGAACGTCCCGGCCGCAAGCCATTTTGGGGGAAATTGGGAGACTAATATTAAGAGTCTAAAGAGTCGTTTATACCGAGTAATAGGAGATCAAATTTTGTCCTTCGAATAGTTAAGTACTGTGCTCGCTCAAATTGAGTGCGTCATGAATAGTCGCCCCCTTTGTCGTACGTTGTCAAGTGACCCCTCGGAGCCGCTGGCTCTAACTCCAGCACATTTTTTGAATTTAACGCCTTTGAAATATCTGCCCGCCATAGACATGGACGAGAATAAACTTAGTATTTCCGCACGCCATAAGATATTGGACCGGTTGGTGCAGTCGTTTTGGAAACGATGGAAGATGGAATAATTGCATACGTTGTAGTCTCGGCAAAAATGGAACACAACAACTGAACCTTTAACTGTCGGAACTGTGGTTGTGCTCACAAAGGAGAATATACCGCCTCTCCATTGGCCATTAGGAATCGTTGAAGAAGTTTTTCCCGGTTCCAACGGGGTAACTAGGGTAGCTCGCGTTAGGATCACGACTGGGTCTTACACGCGCCCTATTGTCCGTTTGTGCCCTTTGCCCATTCAATAGTTTGAATTAGCTTTCTAGATTAGAAATTGTAGTCGAAAATTAGGTTTAATCTTAGCGTTAGTTATTTTGAAGGGGACTCTTCAAGCCGGGGGGGGGGGATGGTTACGCGGAAACGATTCATGTATTTTAATTTTATTCGAGGGTATATTGCTAAGCGTTTACCCATCCTTTGACCTAATATCCCTTCCGTACACACTGAAAGGGGAAAGGCGGGGGGAGTCTAGATGGTGCCGCGATTCTTTCGACCAATGAGACGCGCGCCCGACCGAGGTGCATTAGTGGGAAAGCCGAGGCAATATAGGCTCGCGCGCTGCCCTCGATTGGTCTCTTGCCACGCGCCGCTAGTCTGAACCGCATCACCTGGAGCAGTCGCGCTCCAGAAGTAACCGCCTCACATAGTGTGAGATATCGTCGCGCACCGCTCTGTTCCTTCACGCACCACTGGCCTGGATCACATCTCTGGGGTGCCCCAGAAAAACCCACCTCACGTCGCATCACCGCAACGGAAGCGTCGTCTGCCGCATCAGAATCACACCCCGGTAAGAGTGTTTTCCCGTAATTTTATTCCTAGTTGAGCACTTTGTTTGTTAATTAACCCGCCCCATTTTGTTTTCTCCTAATGTGCTCAAGTAGAATTCCCTCCTAACCTTGGCAAGAAATAGATTTTGGAAGAGCGAGTGCATTGTTCAAGGTGCCGCGTGCCACATCCACCATCTTGTTGAGGCATAAGAAGTCATCCCGTATACAGTCCACTTAGTATAATATCTCGCACAATAGGGTCAAGGCTCAACCTGGGAATCGAACTCGGGAACCCTTGGGCCCGCCGCCCAACCATATATATATATATATATATAGTCGATACTTATAAGTCGTGATATATCGATACTCAATATTTAGTAGTATTTTAAAATGTTGTATTAATCGACAAAACATTAAGCAACAAAACATTTATGTGTCGTTGTCGGTTTTTTTTATCATCCAACCGTCCAGTAATATCATTTTGACCCTTATCGTATTACATTATGCAAAACATGACGATATATCGTTGTTCATCCCGTGAATATATCGATACTGTTTAAAAATAACAATATAGTTTTACACTTGCCCATCCCTATTCATCGTTATTGCCACATGAGTAGATAAACGGAATATTGCTAGCAGCTAGCTGGACACGCGAGAGACCTCGCCCGCGTCTGTTTCGCCCCCTTAAAACCTACGTGAACACGGATACCGTTTCGTCTTAATGACGAGTTCCTCTTCTCTACCACTAACACTGTAGGCGATGAATCACGCTATGAAGCCCTCGGCACACTGTTGTCGGCTATCAATTACGAATCCGGCATCGATAGTTGTGAGTATCAAATACTATGGAATTTATACAATCATGGCAGCGCGTCTCATGCGCGGGCGTCTAGCGGTGCTTCAGGAGCATTACTAAATAAATAAAAAAGTTTTATCATTGTTACTTGGAAATTTATATTCCAAAGATCTATGAATATTGTACTAATGTGACCGTGAGATGTGGGTAGTTAATTAAGGTTATACATTTTTTTGGGTTGATAAAATAGATACTTATGAACTCAATCATAATGGCTTAAATAGTATAATCTCAATATTTTTTACCTTTAAAGTACTACAGTTTTATAATGTACAAAAATCTATCTCTTTTTATATAAGTTTTTGAAGTAAATTTTTTGAAGTCTTACTAAAACAATATTATACTTACTGGTACAAATAATGTAGAAATGGCTCCATGTCCAACCCGCCTAACTACCTAACAATTTTTTTCTAAGTATAGAATCTGGAGGAAATCTGATTAACAAACGGAATCATAAAATTATATTTTTATAACGTAATTTAACTGAGAATTTATTTTCATTTCTCTTCTTGTTGTGTAGGCAAGTTTATCGATGCATTATAAACATTCAAGATAATATCGACATTAATTTTGATACAGTTTATACAATCCTTAGCGTACATGTAAACAGTTTAGTGGTCATTTGGAAAAGAATACACATCATATTTCATGCCGGCAGACCACTTTACAAGGCCCGGGTTCTGCCTCACATGGGATACTGTTCCCATCTCTGGGCCGGGGCTCCTTATTGCCATCTCTGGTGAGCAGAATAGAAGCTTACGGCACTGACATTAAATACATTTTGTTTTTATTTTACATAACATATTATGGAATTGATATCTATCAATAAATAGTTCTAATTTCGAACAAACTTTCGATACTAATACAATAATAACAACAAAATCTTTGAAATAAATAAATCAATCCATTTCATTCCATCAAACTATCAAAGTTAAAATAATACGTACCCAGTTATTAGTATTTTATTGACAGATCAATTTCGTAATTATTAATGTAAAATAAAATAAAAATTGTAAAATATCAGTGCGATAGGCCTCTATTCCGTTCACCTGTTAAACTCTTTTTTCCAAATGAAATGATCAAAAAAATGTTCTTCAAACAAATATTAAAATAAAAAGTTCAAACAATAATTAAAATAAATTTATTGTAATTATTGTTTCAAAAATGTTTCTTTTAAAAAAATAATAATCGTGCGTTCGTTTTTTGTTAACATTGGTAGCACCGTAGACAGAGAAACCTACAGACAAATTGACGACTTCTTTCGTATTCGCACACGAATAAGATAGATTTATGCATACGTCTTGCATAGGAATGAGACAGGGCGGTGTGATTTTTTGTCCCTTTCTCCGTGCTGGTTTTTTTATTTAGCAAACTACACTTTGCTAAACAACTTTGACAGTTCGTAGCGATCTAAGGAGTTTACAAGTTGGTTTAAGTGAGAAAAAAGTGTTTTGTGAGCTTAAGATTGGTGAATCTTGTTCAGTTGAGTTCTTAGAATAATTAAATTTTTTATCTAAATATGTTTAAGTCAGAAAGATTATTATACCTATATAATATAAACTATAACCTAAAACTACATTAACGTCCTTTCTCACTCGAGGCCACACTAATCATTAGTCTATAGGTTTCTCTGTCTACGTTCCTATCATGGTTTGAAAACAAGGATTATCTACCCTCCATACTCTGATGCATGAAGGTTAGAGAACAGGTGAACGATCACCGTAGAAAATAGTATCCAGAAATATGGACACCATAATTGAAGCGCTGCGATCGCTCGAGGTTCGGTCAATAAAAGTCATTTTGAATCTATTTTTCCGATCAGATGCTAAACCACTTGCACATCCACGCGCAATAAAATATTTCTCCATTTTTTAATGTTTCTTTTTGTAAAAAATTACAAAATTAAGGAGCATGAAAATTTTCTCATTAAAATGAAATGAAAATTTGTACATTATTCAACTAACTTCATCTACTTGTACTCATAAACTTCTAACTAGCTAACTTCGCAGTTACTATTCATCGACGTCAGCGCCGCTATACATTCAACAATTTTTAAGGACAGGCGGACTATGCTTTAGTACGTATAATAGTGATCGTTCTCCTGTTCTCTAGAATTATAACCTTCATGCTCTGATGAAAGATTTAAAAAAAAAGTAATACTCTCAAATGTCAATGCCAAAATCTACATATTTATTTATCTATGGCCAAAATCTGAGTTCGCGTAAATATAAGTTTTGATTTTGCTTTGTTTGTGATCGTTTGTTACCGAATTCAAACTAAGAATTTAAAAATTGAACAACAATAATATAAACAGTAGTAGTAAACGGCAACGTATACTTTAATTATAGCCCAATTATGTCATCTTACAAAGTAAATAAAGTTTACATAAAATAAAATACTAAGCAAGTGAAGAAATTTTTATAAGACATCAATTTAAAAGTCATTCTAATTTCCAATTTATATTTCAGCCTATTGACTCCAAAAGGGAAGAGTTCAGAAGGTATTTAGAAAGGGCAGGGGTAATGGATGCTTTGACAAAAGTTTTAGTTAGCCTGTATGAAGAGCCAGATAAACCGGAGGATGCATTAGAATATGTTCGAAAACACCTAGGAACTGATGGAGGAGAAGATGAACTTGAAGCTGCTAGAGCTCGCATCGCAGAATTGGAGGCTGAAAATGCCCTACTTAAAGGAGAAGCAGCTCCAACAGATGGATAATATACTGCAATTAGGGTAGAAGTCAAAATAATCGACCGCAACTCACATGAAGTCCGGGTAGTAACGTTACTCACCTGATAAGAAAATGTTACTCACAGGAATAATAGGATGCTTTCACATTGAAACAACAAATAGGTACATATTTTTATTTATTGTTAGACTGACACAACTGCTAACATCAATAAATGTATTTTTAACAAGTTCACCACCGAAAACATGCTTTAAAAACTACAACCTACACAAAACAATTACTTTGGCGGTGAAAATAACAAAACAAAAAAAAGGAACTTTATTACTTAAAAAGGAACTTTAATATATTTATTACAACTGGTAACTTGAGTGATAATTATGTAATTCTTTAATCAAAATATATATAATCATCGTCGTCAAGAAATACAAAATCAGTCTCATTTTCATTGATCGACATTAATTCTACAGTCTTTACAATATTCTTACAATCTATTAGCTCCACTTCCATTGACTTTGTCTTAATAAATTTTGTATTGTCATGTTTGCCAACTTTTCTTAAAAAAGATATTTTTACCTTGTCATTGAAAGGTTTTTCCAAAACTGTGCCTACAAAATATTCCACTCTTTTTTTTAAAAAGTGTCTTACCAATACATAATCGTATTTTTTTATATCAATGGGAACAATTTCTAAGTTGGAACTTGAAGAGGGCTGATGCAACATAGTATCTGGGATAAGGCAAGTTTTAGTCTTTTCAATTTTAACTTTTACATTTTTTTTGCAGCCTTTAGATTTTGATTTATTAATATTAAAATCTGTATCTTGCATATCCAGGCTATCTGATTCAGAAGCAACGTCGCAAATGTCTGAATCACTGTGGACACTCATAGCGATGTCACTATTGCTTGATTCATCTTCTTCTTTTTTTCTTTTTAACTTCTTATCTTTTCTTTTAATCTCTTTTCTCGTTTTTCGTTTAAGCCGGTCATAGTTTTTAGTGTTAAGTGATGATAAGTTTTCTTTATTTTCATTATTGGTAACAATTTTTGGGGTACATTTTGAGGGCGGAATTATAACTTGCGATATAATCTTGGGTTTTTGTTTTACATTCGTCAAGACGTTAGTGTTAATATTAAGTGAATTCTGATTTTTTGCCATCAATACAATTTTTGTTCCAGCAGTTTCCCGAATGATGCAACTACTTGCTTTTGTTTTCGATTGAAAAATTCCACCTTCGTCATGTATAACGTCAATGTCATTGGTTGATATTCGATGTGAAACCACGGGAATTTCTGGCAGCACTGCTCCGCATTCATTCAATTGCCCCGCTTCCTCATTGTTGCGCATCCTTTTACTAACATTGGTTGAACAATTTATCTTGTGGACTATAGTTTTTTTCAGGACGTGAGTTTTCGCGTTGTAGCATTCGCAAATCCCTCTTGGCAAAGATGACTTACAGAAACAACTGACATTGCGGTACCTTAGTGTTGTTGATGGAACATGGTAAGTAATTTGATGTAATCGTGTAGTAAGTGGTACTGGATCCAAGTCATTCGGTATCTGGTTCTGTGCATCCCGAATATTAATTTCAGAGACTGAAAATATTGTAACAGATGATTCTTCAGTTAAAATAGACACAGCATCGTCGGCACAGCTAACATCATTTCCACATGCCACTTTTTGATCCAGCAGTCTTTTTACAGCACCCCCTACTCCATCGGCAGCACCCTTGCCGTGCGCAGCTTCGAAAAACGTCCAGGTTCCAAAAGTAAATTTATACTTTTTGCATAACTCTGTAAACTGGTAAAAATTTTTTTTTTGTTTATATTGCGTACTTGGACCGTCTGAGAAAAAATGTATGGTATCTATGTCGGGATTGCTTGTTAATAATAATTCAATTATAGGTTCTATGTGGGCTCTGATGGCTCCAGGGTCATGTAAGTTACAGTCGGACAGCGAAGCAAAAGGAACCTTTTTTTGTTGTAGATATGCTATGCCAGTGTGGATCGTAATTTGGCCCTTTGATGCTCCGAAATGAAGAGCCTGTATCTCTTCTCCTAATTTACAGGAATAATTTTCTGAGAAATCTATTATTAGAGCTGCTTCATTGGGTAGTAGGTTATCAATAACTTCTCGATATTTTTTGTGCTGATGATTTATATTAAAGAAATGCTGCCGGAATGCACGTAGATCAGCTAAAAACATTTCTTTGAGTTCTGAAAATGTACCCTTAATACTTTCTTTAGCATATTTCTTTGTAGTAGTAATTTTTCTTTCTATTCCCTTCTCAAACGTAAATTCCTTTCTAATCCACTGTATCCATGTGCATTCTGTATTGTTTGTAATATCTGTCAAATTCATTTCAGGATTGGTGTCTTTACACTTTTCACAATTTAAATACATACAGTCGTACGATTCAACGCTGCACACACTCGATGCAAGTAATTCTTGCAAATCGGAAGTACCTATAACGCCAATTTTCTTTAAATGAGCAACTTTGAAGGCTAAATTACTGTGTTTTATACATGCAACGGTGTTTCTATCACTCAACTTTGGCCGTAACACATTTCTTGGCCTATTTCGTCTAAAAGTTGAAAATGAAGCTTTTCCTCCCTCGCTTACATATTTTGTGTAAAGTTTCTTCAATGAAGTAAGCAAGAATCGCTTCTGTAATTTATCATTACCTCTACCAACACATTCTTTCTTGCCAGCTGTCATTCTAGTGTTATCATCCCTGTTGAAAAAAATACGTATTTCTTTAGCTTCTTTGTATGTCCTTTCCTTTTTCTGAAATTTTCTTACTCTCCCTTTCAGTCCCAATGATTTCGAAATATCAGTTTTCAGATTATATTTTTCTATTGCTTCGGATGAAACAATGTCTTTTAGGATCTGTTTTGATTTATTGTCATGTTTTTCATATGCTGTCTGTAACGAAGCACTGATCACATTCAGCTGCAGGATCTGTTTTTTAACTTTATTTTTTTCAGGAGTGGATATGGATGGAATATTTTCATTTATAAAGGATAATGTATTAGACATAGGAGTTTTTTCACGTAAATCTTCATTTTCAGATTTGTCAGTTGTGGTCAGTCCGGATGAGGTAGTTGGTGCATTAATGTCTGTAGGTACAAATTCACTGTTGGTTTTACTTTCTGATGAGTTTATTAAATATTTGTTTTCCGTTCGTTCTGAATTTGAGATCAATTTGCGCAGCTCTTCAATTTTAATTTTATGTCTATATAGGTTTTTTTGTAAAGCATGTTTCTTCAGCAATATATTATCTATAACTTTCTTTTGATCTGTTATTCGCTTCTTCAATTTTTCACATAATCGTGCATTTAACGCACAACACTTGTTGTTCTTTGGTTTTGTTACACCACCTTCTTTTTGTTTTTTTTTGGCAAGTCTCCATTCTCGTCGCTTTTTTTCCTTTTCTTTTTCAGTCAGTTCTGCAATTGGTCTTCTAGCAGCTTTCATGTATTCTCTATGCTTCTTTTTTTCTCCTCGTATTTTTCTGCATTTTGTTTTATTTTTTCACGGTATTTTCTTTGTCTCTCAGCATTCGACATTGGCGCCATCTAAAAGTAAGCATGTAAAGTCAATTAGTTTTAATTTATGCACAAATACGTCCAAAAAGTCCAATCCATGAAATATTAAAATAATAATAATAGATTATTCCAGAAGTGGATGCCAGTATATTTCATGCATATACATATATAAATATATAAAAAAATATGAATTCTAAAATTCCTCCTTTTTTTTGAAGTCGGTTAAAAATACGAACAAAACCAAGCGGTTCGGAAGATGAATGAGATTTTCGTTTGAAGTGAACAACTCGTTATTGATTGCAGGTGCACTTACTATACAAACTGATTCGTTTTACCAAGTGTTACTCACAAATCTATAAAATCCTGTGAGTAACAATTAGCAGTATGAACTAGCCCTAAGTCGTGTTACGTTATCCACAGGAAGGAAAAATATGGATTATAACCTCTAAAATGCATCGTCATAACAACAAATATCTTACCTTGAAAACAATGTCTCTGTGTTGTATGAGCACCAAAACACACTATTTCAGACTGTGTATCCAGACCCGCGTAATTCACTTTAGAATTTATCTCACTCACTAGTTTTTCACAGGAATATTTTGGACAAATTTTTCTGTGCGCGCACTCTTTCAACCAAAACTTAATGAAGTGACAACATGGCGTTCTCAAAAGTCACGAGATGTGAGTAACAGTGTTGCTAGCATAATATATAATTGCGATATGGTAGAATTTCTTTTCGGGAGCGTTTAAAACACCGTTATCTACCTGGAGTTATTCACAGGAATGATATTTGGGATTTTATTATAAACAGTAATTAAATAATTATAGACATAATAAATTAACGATTACATGAATGAAAACAATAATTAAGTCACCAGTTTTTACTTAACAGTATATAATATTGCTAAAAATTGCCTAGTATTGATTATTTTATAATATGTAAATTTTCATTACGCAATAGGACACTTTCATTTTGTATGGACGTGAAATTAGTGACTTTAGTTTGCTAATATTTTTTTCGGTATAGTTATATTCTAAACATAACTAAAATGGCTTGTTTTCCTGTAAATTAATTGTCCTTTAAAACAAAATTGGTTATAACTTGATATGACCCGAACTAATCTTTATATAAGCTGAAAACGGTCGAGGACACATATTTTTTAAAGTCATGTACGATTATTTTGACCTCTACCCATTAACACTCTGCAACAAGTACAACTGATCTCAAGCACACAATGATCTCAGAAATATTATTGTTGAATCTTTATAAATATAACTTAGGTGTTATTACTTTCAGATTATTTTGTTATTAATTAATTAAACTTAAGTTCTGAGTGCAGAGAGCACAATAAATTTTTGTTTTATTAATTGTAGTTTTACTAATTTATGATTTTTGTTTGTGTGGCTTAAGGACTCCTAGTACTCATGTTTAAGTGCTTAGAGGCTTCAAATACCATAAGGCCTGGTTTGGAGCAGTATGGAAT